CCAGCTTTCTTTTGATTCCCATTTGCATGGAATATATTTTTCCATCCTCTCACTTTCTGTCTATATGTGTCTTTAGGTCTGAAGTGGGTTTCCTTGTAGACAGCATATATATGGGTCTTGTTTTTTATACATTCAGCCAGTCTGTGTCCTTCAGTTGGAGCATTTAAACCATCTACATTTAAAGTAATTATTGATATATATGTTCCTATTGCTATTTTCTTAATTGTTTTGGGTTGATTTTGTAGATCTTTTTTCTTCTCTTCTATTTCTTGACTATGTAAGTCCCTTTAACATTTGTTGTAAAGCTGGTTTGGTGGTACTGAATTCTCTTAATTTTTTCTTGTCTGAAAAGTTTTGTTTCTCCATCAATATTGAATGAATTATTTGCTGGTACAATAATCTTGGTTGTAGATTTTTCCCTTTCAGTATTTTAAATATATCCTGCCATTCCCTTCTGGCCTGTGGAGTTTCTGCTGAAAGATCAGCTCTTGAACATGTGGGATTTCCCTTGTATGTTACTTGTTGCTTTTTCCTTACTCCTTTTAATATTCTTTGTTTTTGTTTAGTCTTTGTTAGTTTGATTAATATGTGCCTTGATGTGTTTCTCCTTGGGTTTATCCTGTATGGGACTCTTTGTGCCTCTTGGACTTGGTTGGCTATTTCCTTTTCCATGTTGGGGAATTTTTCAACTATAATTCTTTCAAAAATTTTCTCATACCCTTTCTTTTTTCTTCTTCTTCTGAGACCCCTATAATTCGAATGTTGGTGTGTTTGCTATTGTCCCAGAGGTCTCTAAGATTATCCTAAGTTCTTTTCATTCTTTCACTTTATTCTGCTCTTCAGTAGTTATTTCCACCATTTTATCTTCCACCTCACTGATTGCTCTTCTACTTCAGATATTCTGCTACTGATTCTTTTTAGAGTATTTTTAATTTCGATAATTGTGTTGTTTGTCTCTGTATGTTTATTGTTTAATTCGTCTATGTCTTTGTTAATTGACTCTTGCATTTTCTTCATTTTGTTTTCAAGGTTTTTGATCATCTTTACTATTATTATTCTAAATTATTTTTCAGGTAATTTTCCTATTTCCTCTTCATTTATTTGAACTTCTGTGTATCTAGCTTGTTCCTTCATTTGTGTAGTATTTCTCTGCCTTTTCTTTTTTTTAAAGTTATTGTATTTGAGGTATCCTTTTCCCAGGCTGCAAAGTTGACTTCTTTCTTCCTTTTGGTTTCTGCCCTCCTAAGTTTGGTCCAGTGGTTTGTGTATGCTTCTTATAGGGTGAGATTTTTGCTGAGTTTTTGTTTGTTTGTTTGTTTTTCCTCTGATGGGCAAGGCTGAGTGAGGTGGTAACCCTGTCTGCTAGTGACTGGGTTTGTATTTTTTTGTTTGTTTGTTGTTTAGATGAGGTGTCCTGCACAGGGTGCTACTTATGGTTGGATGATGCTGGGTCTTTTATTCAAGTGGTTTCCTTTGTGTGAGTTCTCACTATTTGATATTTATGGGGTCACGAAGAGTTGGACATGACTGAGCGACTGAACTGAACTGACTGACTACAGGTTAGTTCTCCTGTAGTCTAGGGTCTTGGAGTCAGTACTTCCATTCCAAAGGCTCAGGGCTTGATCTATTTATTAAATGATATTCCTTTCACCTGTGATGTCTTACTCTTTGTTGTTAATTTATCTTTCTTCAGTGAAGATTCCTGTTTCCTGAGGGAACAGATAGCAGAATATAGTCCAACAATGGTCAGAAACACTGTCTTCAATAAGGTAAGACTGGGTGCTGACAGAAGTAGACTTTAGAAAATCTGTGTCTGAACCAGGTCTCAGGATCTTCTTAGTTCTCATAGTCCCATCCTCTCTTCAGTCTTCATATTTCTTTGTTATAAATTGTACATTAAAGTTATTCTCTGCAATACTCCAATGATTGCTGTCAGACTACCAGGCTGTGAGGAAGTGTAACACCTGCTCAGTTTGGAGACATGGGTCTTGGAGACATGGCCATTTGAGAAGTACTGTACTAGTTAGAAGATAAATTCTTCTTTTTCTGGAACTCTTTTGCTAGTGACTTGATTATTCAACTTTGGCATTTCCTTCAAATGGTAGGATAAAGATAGGACACCTACCCAGCACACAGGTCAATGCATCAGTCTATACACATCAACATCTGCTTCCTTTTGACATTTATATCCTCCAAGTGGCAGGTGGCCTAAACAAGATGACTGTTAAGCCATTTTCCTATCTATCATCTTTGATTTTAAAAGCTACACAGAATCACTGGAAACATGCTGTACTATTCAACAAATATTGTAGGGGCATTTGGGTAATCATTTGGAAAGTAAAGTTAGATACTGTCTTCACGCATTGTAAAATAAAACAATTTCTAGGTGAGATAAATATCAAGTTGTAAAAATGTATCCATAAGGAAACAAGAAGCATATATGGGGTATGTTTACATAACTATAGTACAAGGAAGGATTTTTTGATCATGACGCCGAAGTCACAAACCATATAGGAAAAAAGCTGGTATATCTGACAACAGAAAAATTACAAGCAAAAGTTATGACTGTTGAAAACTCCATAAACAAACTTAGAAGATAAAAATAAATTAGAAAATATAGTGTTACTATCCAGATCAATAGAATTTTTTAAAAAGCCAGTGCAAATAGTCTCCATCATAGATGCAAAAAGAAAACCCACTATATATTATATAATTCCACTTATATGATATGCCCAGAAAAGACAAATTTATATAGTCAGAAATCAGATCAGTTTTTGCCTAGGTTTTGAGGTGGGAGTGGATATGGACTGAAAACGGTCTCACGGAAATTTTTTGAAGTGTTTATCACTTCACTATAGCATTATCACTATAGCATTCTATAATTGGATTTTACTTTTTTGAAGTCATAAACATATTCTACTATTGGACTTTAGTGATAGGGATGAATGTACAACTGCATATAATTTACTAAAAATCATGGAGAAGGAAATGGCAACCCACTTCAGCATTCTTGCTTGGAGAATCCCATGGAGAGAGGAGCTTGATGGGCTTCAGTCCATGGGGTCATAAAGAGTTGGACATGACAGAGCAACTAAACCAAACCATTGAATTCTACCTTTGTGATGGATGAAATCTACTCTTTGTAAATTAAACCTTAATAAAAGTGCTCATAATGGTGTCAGGAGAGGACTGTTTCTGTATTTGAAATCAAACGGAAAATTCTTCTCATGGACAAATGGTATAATTACATATTATTATTTGAATTATTTTTTTTTCTTATTCATTCACACATTTGTTCTTTTTTTTTCATTTATTTTTATTAGTTGGAGGCTAGTTACTTTACAATATTGTAGTGTATTTGAATTCTTATTTAGGGAAACACTAAGAAGTATTATAAAGATGATCTAGCCTAACTCCCTTATTTTGTGGATAAGAAAACTAAAGCCTGATGAATTAAATAGCTTGCCTGAAGTCACATAATCAGCTAGTAGAAGATCTAGGACTTGCACCCAAGTTGCCCAGCTACTAGCCTGTTGTTTATCACATTATGCCATATGGTCTTTCGTTACAATGCTCTAACTTAAACTGACTGAAATTCCAAAAATTTGAAATAACCATGTACTATAATCTATGGATTGTTGTAATAGCAAATATTTTCTAAGCATGGGAGATCTTTATTGTGGTAGATCAGTTTTACTTTTTGTGATGATGATGTAGGAGACTGCTTAGGTGGAAGTATTAAAAATCAAAAAGATAAAATACAAATGTTGGTGAAAAAAGGGTTAGAGTCATTAGGAAAAACAGTATGAAAATTCATTAAAAGATTAATAATGATTTTTTTCTATTTAATTTTTTTATTTAAATCCAACAATCCCTCTTCTGGGTATATATCCAAAGGAAATGAAACTAGTACCTCAAAGAGGTATATCTGCACTTCCATGTTCATTGCAGTATTAGTCACAGTAGCCAAGGTATGGAAGCAAGCAAGTGTCCATAGACAGATGAATGGATAAAGAAACAGTGGTATATACATACACTGGAATATTATTCAGTCTTTTAGTCTTTTAAAAATTCTGCCATTTGCAAGTGCTTGGATGAACCTAAAGGGCATTATACTAACTGAAATAAGCCAAATACAGGAAGAAAAATACTGCATGATCTCACTTATATGTGGAATCAAATAATTCAAATATATAGAAGCAGAGTAGAATGGTAGGTACCAGGGTGTGGACATGGGGAAAATGGGGAAATTTTGGTCAAAGGGTGGAAACTTTCAATTACATAGGGTAAGTTTAGGTAACTAATATAGAGCATGATGACAATAATTAACAATATAGTTGACCTTTGAACAACATGAGGGTTAGGGTCATGGAAGCCCCGTCACAGTTAAAAATCCAAATATAACTTTGACTTTTCCAAAACTAAACTACTAATAGCCTACTGTTGACTTACCAATAGCATAAACAATTGATTAATACATATTTTGTATGTTTTACATATATTACATATATTATATGTATTCATGACATACCTTTTTCTTTTTTGATATTTCTAGGCCACATGGTTTGTCTGCAGGTTTTTCCAAATTGTTGCAAATCTCCAAAATTTTTTCCAGTGTATTATTGAAAGTGAGCCAGTGCAGTTCAAACCCATGTTGTTCAAGGATCAACTATATGTCTTATATTGTATGCTGGAAATTTGCTTTGGGAGTAGATTTCAGGTGCTCTCATTACATACACAGACAAAAAGGTAACTATGTGAAGAGATAGATATGTTAAGTAGCTTGATCATAGTAATCATTTATGTATATATATTTATATCTAAACTTGTACACTTTAAATATATATGAATATTATTTTAAAATATAAAAATAAATAAAATATGTCTATTTAACCAAATGTTTTGATGACTTTAGATTTGAAGCACAATAAACTGAAAAGCAAGTAAAAATGCATCAAATACACAAAAGATATCATTAGGAGGTGCAGCATATAAAATACCTTGAGAACTTCCTTCAGACAAACAGATGGATACTTCATCATTTCTGTCATTATCCTCGCCTACTTCAGGACCAGCTTCCTCTCCTGATGTGAGTGCAGACAAAGAACCATATTCGGGCTGCTCAGAAAAATCAGCAGGGCCTCCTCTTGGAGGTGGAACTTCAATCCCCATTAAACGATATTTCCTTCTTCGATTCCCAATCCATGTCTTTATGAGAGAAATACAAGAGGAAGTTTTGTAAAAATAGAAACCTTAGCAGTTCTACCATTAAAATACTGAATGGATGCTGTGTAAAATATGATTGTAAAGAATAAATAGGTACTGAGAAAAATGCAGCTTTATTATTACTCAATAAACTAAAATATAAATGTTTCTATTTTAAAATTTTTATTATCTTAATAATAAGAGTTTCAAGCAACATGCAGCCCATTGCAGAACACTTTTTTGCTTTTGTTTTCTTTCTGGAGAAAATAACCCACCAAATATTTCAAAAGAAACATGAACTGATTCTTTCCCAAAAGGGACCAGGCATGCAGCTCTAACTATATTTCATATCCTAATTCTAATCTCAATCTTCCTAGGTGAAAATGTGCTTTCTAGTAACTTTGCTTGGCTCCATGATGATTACCTGGGTTTTTAAAGTATTCTAATGTCCCATTTTATTAGATTTAGAACCAATTTCTAAAACTTGTTACATTAAAATAAGTTTGGAGTTACAGGAAGTTACAAAAATTGGTCTTCATTCTATTTTCTTTTATTTTCTTTTTTTTTTGAATTTTTAAATGCTTATATTTGTTTTTCAGTGTGAGAATTTGGGAGGGGATATAAAAATAGTTAAAACTTTTCATTTGGTTTTATATATATATATATTTTCATTTATTTTTATTAGTTCGAGGCTAATTACTTCACAATATTTCAGTGGGTTTTGTCATACATTGACATGAATCAGCCATGGAGTCACAGCATTTTACATAATTATAGTACCATAACAGAAAATGGAAATTGATATTGCACGATATGTGTTGAAAATTTTATGTTCTTTTATCATACCATTCTTCTCCTCCTTTCTGCTATCTTCAACTCCTGACAACCATCAATGGATTTTCCACCTCTATAATTGTGTCATTTTGAGAATGCTATATAAATAAAGTCATACAGCATGTGACTGCAAAAAATTTCAAAAAATTGGATTTCCCTTTCAGCATAATTTCCTGGAAATTTATTCAAGTTACATGTACTAATAGTCAATTTCTTTTTATTGCTAAGAAGTCTTTCATGATACAGTTTCTTTCCTTTCCTTTGCAGTGTTCGTTTAACCCTTCACTTGTTGGAGGACACTTGATTCCAATTTTTAGCTGTTATATACAGCCATAAAACTCCTATGAACAGTTTTGTACAGGTTTTTGTGCTGATGTAAGTTTTCATTTCTCTAGCATAAATGCCAAATAATGAAATTTCTGGGTCAAATTGTAATTATATGTTTAATTTTAAAAGAAACTGCCAAATTGTTTCCATAAAAGTTGTACCATTTTACATTCTTACCAGCAATGATTGAGAGACTCAGTTTCTTGGTGTTCTTGCTAGGACTTGGTATTATAAGTATTTTTTTTAGCTGTTCTCATTCGTGCATATAGTAATGATCATTAAGTTCTTAATTTGGTTCCCAATGGCTAGTAGTATTGATAATATTTTCACATACTTTTTGCTATCCACCTATCAGTGAACTGTCTCTTCAGGTCTTTTGCCCATTTTGTGATCGAGTTGGTCTTTTAGGACTGGGGTATGAGAACACTTCATATATTCTAGATATGAATTTTTGTCAGATATGTGATTTTGAAAATTTTCTTCCATTTTGTAGCAGATATGAGTTCTTTACCAAATATGGGGCTTGCAAATATTTTCTCCTTGTCTGTAGCTTGTATTTTCACCATTCTGGTCTTTTGTAGCACAAAAGTTTTTGTTTTTTTTTTAATTTTGATAAAGTTGAAGCTATTGCTTTTATTCTTTTATGGGTTGTTCTTTTAGTACCATTCCTAAGAATTCTTCACCAAGTTGTATCAATACGTAATTTTTCATGGTTTTATTTTTCACATTTAAATCCCTGGTCCATTATGAATTCATTTTTGTCTAAGGTGTGAGGTTTAGGTCTAAGGTAATTTACATTTTCCAATAGAAATACAGATGTTCCAGAACATTTCTTGAAAAGACTTCCTCCACTGAATTGCTTTTGCATCTTTGTCAAAATTAGCTAAGCTGGCCATGGTTGTGCAGGAATATTTCTGGATTCTCTATTCTGTTCCAATGATCTATACATCTATCACCCTGTTAATACAGTCATTACTGTACTTATATAATAAGTCTTGAAATTAGAAATGAATTTCTTCCCCTTATTATTTTTTTCCAGAACTGTTTTGGCTATACTAGCATATTTCTTTTCCATATGACTTTTAGAGTTATCTTATCTACATCAACACAAAATCTTGCTGGAATTTTATAGGAATTATGTTAAAACTGAATAACAATTTGAGAGGACTTGACTTCTTTACCATGTTGGGTCTTCCGGTATGTGCACACAGAATGTCTCTTCATTTACTTAGAATTGCTTTTATTCCTTTCATCAGTGTTTTGTAGTTTTCAGCATTTAAGTCCTGTACATGATTTGTTGGAGTTACATGTATTTGATTTTTTGAGTGATTGCAAAGAATGTACCTTAAATTTCAGCTTGTGTTCATTTTTAACTATACAGACATACAATTGATTTTTATATGATGATCTTGTATCCATAGACATTGGTGAATTCACTTATTAGTTGTAGGAATGTTTTATTTCTTTAGGACTTTCTAAACAGACAATCATGTATCTTTTATTTATTTTTCTTGATTTATTGTACTGGTTAGAACTTCCAGTATGATAATAAAGGTGGCCAGAGTGGACATCTTGTTTCTGGTCTTAGGGGAAAGCTTCTGTTTTTCACCATTAAAATGTGATGCTAGCTGTAGGTTTTGAGTGCTTGTAGATTTATTTTGGGGGGATATTTTTTAATGATGGATTCAATTTCTTAATAGTAATAGGGCAACATAAATGTCCATCAATAGATGAATGGATAAAGAAATGTGGTATATATACATATATACAATATAATATTACTCAGCAATAAAAAAGAATGAAATAATGCCTGGATCTGGAGATTAGCATACTCAGTGAAGCAAATTAGACAAAGACAAATGTCATATGATATCACTTAAATGTGGAATATAAAACAAATTATACAGATTACAGATGAACTTATTCACAAAATAGAAATAGACTCACGGACACAGAAAACAAACTTATTACCAAAGGGAATAGTGGGATGGGGGGGAGAGATAAATTTACGAGTTTAGGATTAACATGCACACACTACTACATATAAAATAAATAACCAACAAGAACCTACTATATAGCACAGAAAATTATAGTAAGTATCTTGCAATAATGTATAATGGAAAAGAATCTGAATAATATGTGTGTATCAGTTCAGTTCACTTTAGTCGCTCAGACACAAAGAGTTGTGTCCGACTCTTTGTGACCCCATGAATCGCAGCACGCCAGGCCTCCCTGTCCATCACCAACTCACGGAGTTTACTCAAACTCATGTCCATCGAGTCGGTGATGCCATCCAGCCATCTCATCCTCTGTCGTCCCCTTCTCCTCCTGCCCCCAATCCCTCCCAGCATCAGGGTCCTTTCCAATGAGTCAACTCTTCTCATGAGGTGGCCAAAGTATTGGAGTTTCAGCTTCAGCATCAGTCCTTCCAATGAACACCCAGGACTGATCTCCTTTAGGATATATATATATGCATATATGTGTGTGTATATATGGTTTCCCTGGTGGTGCAGATGGTAAAGAATCCTCATGCCATGCGGGAGACCTGGGTTTGGTCCCTGGTTCGGGAAGATCCTCTGGAGAAGGGAATGACCATCCATCCAGTATTCTTACCTAGTGAATCCCATGGACAAAGGAGCCTGGTGAGCTACATACAGTCCATGGTCGCAAAGAGTCAGACATGACTGAACAACTAACATGCGCACACACACACATACACACACATACATATACATACATATATAAAACTGTATCAGTTTGCTATACATCTGAAACTAACAGGTGGTAAATAAACTATAATTCAATTAAAAATGGTTAACAATCAATAATTGAATAGGGCTTCCATGATGACTCAGTGGTAAAGAACCTGCCTGCCAATGCAGGAGGTGCAGGTTCGATCCCTGGATCAGGAAGTGTCCCTAGAGAAGGAAATGGTAACCCTCTCCAGTATTCTTGTCTGAGAAATCCCATGGAAAGAAGAGCCTGGTGGTCTACAGTACATGGGGTTGCAAAAAGTCAGACATGACTTAGTGACTAAACAACTAAGAAAATTATGTCTACCCCAACATTTTTTGAAAGCAGTGGTCTAAAACCAATTTTATACTCAAGTTTCTCATGTAATTTTCAAAAAGCTCATAACCTTTATATTTTTTGTTATGATACCCTACAAAGAATAACTGCCATGCCAATCTACAAAGTAAAATAATTCTTAAAATCTGTTTATTTTCTTTGAGTGTAGAAAGTCACTCAATAGCATTTCATAATTTCAGGTCTAAATTTGATTATGGTACCCTTTCTTTGTATAGCAAATAGAATTTCTTCTATATCACAAGTTTCACATAAATACAAAAGAACCTTAGATGTAAGGATCTACATTATTTATCAAATGTAAATAAAAATTATGAATAAAGTTAACTTTTACTTGATAAAATTTTGTAAAACAAAATGCAAGGCAAAACAGAAGATCTATTCAGTTAATCCAAGAAGATTAATTCTTTATATATTTGGGTGTACATTTTCTCTTCATATTCTAGGGAATGTAGTATCTTTGACATATTTAGTATTCCATGCTAAATGTGAAACCTGAAACACATGGATTGCTTTGTAGACTACCAAGTGAAAACTACCTGGTAGAAAAGAAAAATATTCATGAATATTAATTTTGCTAGCTTTGGTAACTTCTCCCAAGGAAAAAGTACTAGTTTAAAGAGTATAGTTCTGGGATGGGGAATACATGTAAATCCATGGCTAATTCATTTCAATGTATGACAAAAACCACTGCAATGATGTAAAGTAATTAGCCTCCAACTAATAAAAATAAATGAAAAAAAAAATAAAGAGTA